ATACTATGATAATTTATGCAATTTATGACAGCCTTTTAGGAAAAGTTACACAATTTAAAGTTGACTAAAAAGCATTTTAACTTTATTGTAAAAGAAATCTACCTATCTATTGTTTTGCAACAGAAAAACAACTTACATGTGGTTTAGGTTTAAAATTGTATAGTTTAAAAATAAAAGTAATAAATAAAAAATTAGTTTAGTTTGAAATAAAAAAGTAGAAAACAAAAATTTTAAATTGTACTAGTTTTTTTTTTTACATTTAACATTTAAACAGACATTTAACGTTTTAAAATTTAGATGATGATAGATGAGCACAGAATGTAATGATGGAAATAGGTATAATAGTTTTAAAATGTTTTTTTATGAAATTGGTGATTTAATTACTATAATATCTAGTTATTGCTATTTGTATAATATTTTATACTTGTAAAGTTACATCAAGTATCTTAATAAATATACTCTTTTACTGATAAAATAGTACTTATTTTTTAGTATTAATTTTTACTGCAATTTCACTGTTTGTTTTTTTCTGAAAAATATAATGAATTATAGATTAAGTCAATTTAAAACAGAGAATTAACTTTTAAATTAAGAATTACATTATCTAGTACTAGTTTATATTTACTATTGCTAAGGTATGTGAATATAATATGTACTGTATGTGAAGATTATAAAAATGATCTGTTAGTGCCTTTATTTTTCTTAAAAAAAAAAGGTTGTCAGTATTTCTTTTGCTCAAGCTGCATATTTTGACAAAATTTTAAAGATCGTCAATTCAATCTCCATATTTTTTAGAGTTTTCATTCAACTTAATTATTGCTTTAGCATCTGCTAAGCACAATGACTAGATTTATCTTAGCCACCATATTTTACTTTCACTTCAACTAGAGTTAAAAGCAACTATATAATATATGAATCAGCTATTACTAACTAAATATGTATTATGCAATAAGGTTACACCATTAGGCGATTCAAAAACGAGTCTGTGAAAATTTTCGATTTAAATTGTTTAAGGAAATACTTTGCACTCAAAGGTTTTTAGCTGTTAAAAGTATAAACAGCTACACATCTATACAAATGCAAATTTTTCGATTTAATAATACTATGCTTAATAAACTTTTGAATTTATTACATGAATGAGTGATTAATGTAAATATAAATTTTTGTTAATTCTGGTATATTGGTCATTTAGTATTCCTGGTTATGTAAAGCGCAAAGTAGAAAAAACGCTGGCCTTTAATAACATCAAAACGATTAGAGAGGTAATAACTAGATTATAGAAACTTTATTTGATAGAAGAACATTTGTTAGATTCTATAATCAATTCAATTACAAATTTAAACTTATTTAGCTGGAAAAATAAAGGTGCTAAAAATTTAAATAAAAATACTTTAGATCACAATCAAAAGTTGAGCAGACGAAAAGTAAAATATCCAAAATGTGATAGGTAGACCGAGCTTTTTACTTGTTTTTATGAAATTTTTCTCAATCTTAATAATTTTATTTAAATTTGCATATCTTTAATTAGACTAGTTCTAAAATTAAAACGACACATGATGACTATGCATAAAATAAATGAAGATCAAGCTAAAGCAGCCCGTGTAAATTTTAGCCTTAACATCAAGAAAAAAGGTTTAAGTGAAAGTTATAAAAAGAGAAAGTTTGTTCGACGCCAGTGCCTTATGTTTTCCTGTGCTTTGGCACCAAAACGTCTTGAAAATCATTTTAAACAGTATCACAAAGTAGATAAAGAAAGAGTTAAAAGGTAGTTATTGAAGGCATGTCCTCTATTAGAAGATTTTCCTGATGAGGATGAAGAGCTTGATTCTAAAGGATTGAGAAATAACTCATCTTCTCCTGATTCAGATTTACTTTTATCAGAGACAAGTGATAGTGAATCTTATTCAGATTCTGAAGCAAAGGCAAAACAAGAATGGTTTTTCACATCAGAAATTTCTTCAAAAGGAGCAGATTTTCTTAAAAGTTCAGAGGATGAAGATTGGTTGGCTCAAGAGTATATGAAAAGGAGAGCTATTGTGCCTTTAAAAGGTAATACCTCAGCATGTTCCACGGTATTTTTCAAATAATTTTTTTAAATACTGCAGATTATAAATTTTATAAAAAGGATTTATAAGTTAGAAATTTTTAAACACTGCAGTTTTTAATTTTTTGCTTTCAAACTTTTTCAGAAAATAGTTATTAGACCTGAAATAGGTTCAATTGTAAAAAATGATTTACTAAGTTCCAGGGTACGACTTTTAAAAACTAATTTATTGCTAGTTTAAAATAAATTTCAATGAAAACGGCTGTATTTTATTTGTATTTTTTAAAGAAAAGTGAAAGTAATGATCAAAGTGATAAAGACTTTGAAGATATTGAACAACCTTTTATTTTATCTTCATTAGAAGAAGATATTTTTGTAAGTGAATTCTCTGATTGGTTGTACAGTAATGATGGCGGAAAAATACCAAGAAGTACATGCTCTAAACATAAATCAACTATTATGAGCATGGTGCAATCTGGTGATAGTCTAATTGACTAAAAAAATCTGTTCAACCATGAGTTCATTAATGTTTGGGTGACGAAAGTGCAAGATGCTAGCAGAGAAGCAGGAACTATAAAAACCTATCTAGGAAGTCTTATTTATTTTTATAACTTTGCAGTTATATCTGGTGATCTTCGGTTAGTATTGTAATTACTTATTTTTTTTGACAAATGCGATCTTTATTTAAACTTATTAATATAGAAATTTGTTTAAAAAACTTTATTTAAAAAAAATATACCTATTTTTATTTTGCTAGATTTGATGAAAATGATTTCAATAAAATTGATAAAATGAAAACTGTCATAAAAGTTTGGTGTAAAACCTTGTGGAAAGGAATTGAGCGAAGAAAATATCAAAAACAAATTGAAGACATGAAAAGATTCCCAACTGGTGAGCAAATTTACAATTTTGACTAACGCGATCTTGCAAAAGAAGCAATAAGTACACTCAAGGCATTTGTAGCTGACAGGTCCGTTAAATTAAATCGAAAAACCCTATTGTTTGATTAGAGATTTTTTAATAGTTCAGGTTTTATTTGATAATGCTTCCCGACCTGCAGCTATAAGTAACATGACATTAGGAGAATTTAAATCTTCTGTTAGCCAAAATGATGGCATTGTGGTGCGTGTTTTGCATCATTAAAATGATTACAAAGGACCTGCCAACATAACTTTCCAACATGAAGTATATAAGCGAGTTCAAATGTATATCAACTTTGATTATCTGATGTTAATGTAGATTATCTGATGTTAATGTAAAGGATTGTGACCCTGTTTTTTTAAGCTTTAATGGTTCAAAAATGGATTTCTCTATGATTACAACACAATTTTCTAGCTTTTGGAATAGAGAACTTGGCTTACCAATTGAGGATAGAATGATTCCTACTGTTGTGCGAAAGTATACAACAACTATGATTCATAACCTGAATCCCTCAGCAAAACAAGATACAGCTGATGCTATTGTCTAAGGCAAGCAAATGAATCCTATGTTTGTCAAGAAAAGCAAAATAAAGCTTCTTCTTCTACCAAAGTTATTCGCGCTACACAGCAAATAATGGATAAAAGTTCAACTGACAATTTAGTTGATGAGTTATTCGAAAAAGAAATAATAGATAAAAATATAAAAATAACTAAAAGTTCAGTGGATGAAAAATTGTATTGTGATGAAATGTTTTCTGAAATTGTTTACCAGCCCTCAAAATCAAAACAGGTTCTTGATTCTGTTAGATATAAGAAAGGTAAGTTTGAATAAAGTGAAAATCAAGGAACACAAACCAACGAAAATAATTATTATTCAGACAACAATTTTAAAGAGACTTATGAAAAGTGGCAAAGAAAAGATTATATATCTTCAGAAGTTAATGCCATATATATGTAACTTGGAGATTATATATACAGCCAATGCAAAATAGAGGAGTGGTTTTAGAAAGTTATATTCGTGGTATTCCTGAATTTAAATTCGTTTTTAAAAAATTTGGAATCAACCCACTTATTACTAAAATTCGTACTAAAAGAAAAATAATTATTTAAAAAGCTTTAGTCTATTAGAGATAGAGATATAGATCATTTATAAGCAGTTTTAGTTTTAATATTTATATATAAATACAAATATATATATATATATATATATATATATATATATATATATATATACCTATATGTATATATATATATATATATATATATACCTATATGTATATATATATATATACCTATATGTATATATATATATACCTATATGTATATATATATATATATATAAACACACACACACATATATACATATATATATATATATATATATATATATATATATATATATATATATATATATATATATATATATATATATATATATATATATATATAGATAAATAAAGATATAGATCATTTATACGCAGTTTTAGTTATAATATATATATATATATATATATATATATATATATATATATATATATATAAATACATATATATATATATATATATATATATATATATATATATATATATATATATATATATATATATACATATGTATATATATATATATATATATATATATATATATATATATATATATATATATATATATATATATATATATATATATATTTACATAGCAACATATCAATAATATATTACTTATTTTTCATGTTTTGGACAGAATTTTTATAATACATTTGTGTTATGGTAGTTGTTTTTAGCGATTTAAACACCCGTCATAAAATTTCTTGTTTTCTTTTTAACTTTTAATTTTTGCATTATACAAAAAATTAATAGGAAAAAAGTATAAAAACTAAATTTCATTTAAGTTTATGTTTGACTTATAAGTGATGTGAATAGCCATTCTCAAATAATCTTTAAATTGACTAAGAGCTTCAAACTACTTTAGTACTTTCTGCCTTGGTACTTCAATATTTTCTTCTGTTTAGTCAAAAAAATTATAAAATTTTGGAACTTATTTCTATGGTTCATTATTACTGGAACAAGTTTAATTAAAAGTGGAACAAAGTTGTTTTTTAATCTATAAGTTAATAGAAATGTTTAAATATTAAATTAGAAGACATCTGCAACATTTTTTTTATGATTCTTTTCTTTAATGACATTATATGGTCAAGTTGATTATTAAAATTTATTATTTTTGTTTTTGCCAGTATTTACACCATAGAACTGCTTTAAAAACAAGCGAACTCAAGCTCGATAATATTCTAAATAAATTCTGCTACCTGTTGTGAGAAAACATCTGTCAATTTGCCAGCCAAAACTGAGGCAAACAATTGAAGAATTATGGTGGCCTGATATCTTCGTTATGTTGACGGCTAAAAGAGGTAAGTACATATTTTTTGTTTGTTGTTACTACAAATAAGTGCTATATGTTTTGCAAAGTAATTTGGTTGCTTTCTACGAATAGTTACTTTGTTACACTACTACAGCAGGCTTTAATGCAAAAAAAAAAAATTAAATGCCACGAGGTAATCATTCACATCACATAATACATTTATGATCTGTTTTAAAAGGCAGTTTTTAGCAAATTAATTATTTTTAATTTATCTATGACTTCTGATTTATTTTATAGGGCGTGAAATTGACTGCGTGATAGATTCAAAGATTTTTTGTGCTATACTGTGGTTACATGTTATACATATAATCACACTAGCAACTTATTTACACATATAAGCAATCTTCTTGGAAAGTATTGGTAGTTTTACTTAAAAATTTTTTTATAAAATAGCTTGTTTATTTGATCTTCTGATCGCTAAATAAAATTTTGTTTTTAATTCTATATAAGTTATTTTTCCAACTATTATTACATTCTCAAAAAGTTTCAGTTTAATAACTATTACTAAAGTTTTTTTTAAAAAGATAGAGATCATAGAAGTTCTTTCAGAAAATTTTAATAGCTTTGTGTGCTATAAGGTCATTTACTACTGCATGTTAAGCTTTTCTGGATTTCAAAAATGATAGAGAAAAGTATAGGGCAACAGTTAGCCTCGGAGACTACAAATCCTTGCTCAGGAAGTTGGAGGCATAATGTTCTGTGTAAAATTTTTAAAAGGACATACAGTAGTGTTTTCATTTTATCAAGCATGAATAGTAAATTGAATAAGATAGATTCAAACATTGCAAATAACATTTACTTTTTAATATTAAAAATCAGTTTATTTAACAGATTTGTTTAGAAAGGATTTCAAAACCATTTCCTGTTTAAGCATAGTAAAGTTAAAATAGCAGAATAATGCTGTTGATTTTTATTTATATTGGCATAACGGGCATGGTCAATCAAATTGACCATGCCCGTTAACTCGTGCCTGCCAATCAAACTAATGCAAACATGTTGATTAGAAAATCATGGTGGCACAACATATTTGTTCATGTTGATGGATGAAATATGTGAGTAATTTTTTTTCTTTTCTTATTAGTACATTAGGCAACAAATATTGCCTAACGTATTGATATTTTTGTTTTGTTTGTTTTTTACAAATAATGACTTTGTTGCACTACTACAGACTTTGATACAAATAAAATCAATGGTACGTAGCCATCATTTATAATACATAAATAGCCACGTGTGATCTGTTTTAAAAGTCTAGTTTTTGAACAAATAAGTTTTTTTCAGTTTATTTATGGCTTGTGATTTGTTTTATATATGATGCATCATTTGTTGCATCATCAATTACACATGTGTAATTGACCGCATGGCAGATTTAAAAAAATTTTCGTGCTATGCTAGTGTTGTTACACATCATACATAAGAAAGACTGTTACCAAAAAGTTACATCTACATAAGAAAGACTGTTACCAAAAAGATTTTGTAAAAAATAAGTTTTTTATTTTACTTAATGAAAAATTCTACGTTCAATTAAACATTTAATTTTTCTGTTTAAGTTATTCTCGGATTAGATTAATTAAATATTTAATTCCTTGCAAGTTCAGGATGAAACTGTGACAACTATTGTCCAATATTGTTCTAATAAGAAATGTCAGGTAAGTTTAACAGTTTATTGATACTTAAACCTAGAGTCTTGTAAACCAGCTTCAGCATTTGAATATAGTTATGTAAGTTTGCTTAATTATTAATCAATAATAATTACATTAGCATTTTGTTCTTCCAGCTCCACTTTTGTTATAAACTAAAACGAGAGAAGTTATTGACAGACTCATTGAAGAAAATTTAAATCGTGCTCCTCTTGGATTGGTTGCAGGTCATGACTTAAAATGAAGTATTTAATGAAATAAAAAAAAAAAATAATTAAATTATTGAGCATAATAAGCAATTTTTAAATCTAAAGTGTCAAAAACTTATTTCTTTTCTCATAATAAAAATATGTAAAATACTGTATGAGGTAGTTTTTATATAATATTTATACAGTATTTTTTAAATAAAGGTAATTTTTAGCTCCTAAGAAAACAGTAGTTTTTATCGCTATGTAATTGCATTAATTAAATTTTTCAAATAAGTTTTTGTAATACGGCTATTAATAAAATGCCTGCTAACTTTTTCAAAAAGGATTTAATTTTGCATTCAAGATTTGTTATTATTTTAACTTTAAAAAAATTTCATTGTTGAAGTTCTTGTTAATTAAATATTATAGAAGTTGTCATATTAAATACATAAAACTCTCTCTCTTATAACAATTTTTTTTATTGCGCGTCATTAGTAAGTTGCCATTTGCAATATCTTTAAAGAAGGAAGCGTGTAGTGTACTTAATGTAGTTGTTGACGGTTTTTACAAAAATTTTATATTAAAAGTTATTTTTAAATCTTAACAATGATGCTTTTTTTTGTAATATTTATTTTTTAAAAAAATGTTGTCGTTTGAAAAATTTTCAAATGTTTAAATTTTATTTAAATTTTTAACATCGGTTTTTATCCTAGAAGAGGCTATTTTGTTTAGATTTGTTGAAAAGTTTTGAAACCACATGAATTTGTAAAACCATAACTTTCTTGTTAAATTTTTTGGCATTATTTGTTTGTAGCAAAACAACAAGTATTGTTCCGTTTAGTATAAAAAAAATAGTATAAAATTGCTGGCCTACTAGCGTCGCATAACCGAGTTTGCAACAAGCTTTATCAACTTTAAAAAATACATATTCAATTTCCTTAATTCTTTTCTTCTAAAAGTTTTTGTCCGCATATTGGCCATAGCTAAATTGCTATTATAATCTTCCAGGGAAATTTTTTTGATTTATTATGTTAACAATTTTTTTAAATTTCTTATGTTAACATTTTTAAAATTTCCATTACATTATTTAAAAGCGAAAAAAATTGATTTAAAGCAATGTAAAACTTTTTAAAATCACATAAATGGTTCTCGAAACATTTCAAAAACTCCAAGGAAAATATTTCAAAACTCCCACAATCAGACAGTTTTTTTTTTTTTTTGCCGTTTCTGAATTACTGTTGGGGTCTTTCGGGAAACTTTTCTCTTCCTGGTATATTTTGAAGCCATGTTTCTTTTTAAAAATATTTTTTTAAATCCTTAAGTGAGTATATAGGCTTTTTTAGGCGACTCGTCTAGAATGAGTTTCCTCAATTCTAATTGCTCCTTGTTTACAATAAACTTTTTTAAACTACCGATATATAATTTGAAAAGGGAAAAATTTAGTTTCAAACAATCAAAAAATTATCAAAATTAAGTAAACGGTTATCGAAATATTTCAAAATCCCATGGGCTATTATTATTTGGACAGTCTTCAGTACAGCATTCCTGGTGGATGTTTTTAAATTAAGTTTTCCACTTTGTCATTTTGTCAATTTGTAATGTCACCTAAAAGGGTTGAAGTACGGTTTGGGTTTGTTTTTTATTCATTGAAGTTTAATAATTATTAATCAAGGTATACAACTTCTATTCTCTTTATTGTTACACAAAGTAACTTTTTCAGTCAAAAGTAATAAATTTTAAAAAGTACTCTAAATAAGCAAAAAGTATGTTACTTTTAAGTTTTACTAAAACTATGATCCTTATTGCTACCTAAATTTTAGTCTTTGAGCGTCGTTATCGGGACTCAACCATTACTTTGTTGTTAAACTAAGGGTAAAAATTAACTTTTCGATGTAAAGGAACAATAATATAACAAAACATTTCCGTACTGAACATTTTTTAGGAAAGTAGTTTTTTATGTTGTCATATTGAATCAACAAAAAAATTTACATGTTTCTTCAGTAATAATCATATATATATATATATACCATGAATAATTCTGAAAATAAAAAATAATTTATTTACGGGACTAGTAGTAAAAATCAGTGGTGGAAATTTTCATATTACCTGTAAATTAAGAGGGAATTAGAAGTGTTTTAAATTAAAACTGTTGCTTTTTAACCGGGTTCAACGGGGAGTCGGGGAACAGTGAATGATCCCTCATCCTACTTGTCTATAGTTGTTACCATCATTGCATGATAAATAACTTAGTTTATACCATGAATAAACAGTTCCTATTAATAAAAATAACTTAACTATCCTTAGAATATGATAATTAAAAAAAAAACATCAGCACTGCTTTTATTAAATCCCGTTGACTCGATTGTTTAACAAATTAGATAGAGGTAACATGAGGGTAAAAAATCTGCTGCTATCACGTTTATAGTAGTAGTAGTAGTAGTAGTAGTAGTAGTAGTAGTAGTTGTAGTGTTAGTGCTCATTCGAGCGTGCTTAACACGGATCCTTGGCAGCCATTGCAACCGAGGTAGTGGCGAGAAAGATTCGCAGCCAATACGTATAAATATAACTAGATGAGTGACTTTCAGATTTTTGCGTATAACTTAGTGAAGCCAGTGTCGCATATATATATATATATATATATATATATATATATATATATATATATATATATATGCGACACTGGCTTGTATATATTATATATATATATATATATATAAATATATATATATATATAATATATCGACCCTTGTATATATTATATATATATATATATATATATATATATATATATT